CAATATTATAAATGTGAACAAGGGACATCAGTCTAGATCCTATAGATGTTAAAAGGATAAAAGGGATTATGATAAACAATTGTATGCCAATAAATCAACAACTTAGATAAAATGGACAAATTCCTGGAAATATCTAAATTACTAAAAAAACTTAGGTTTTTAGATGGAAGAAATAGAAAAGATGAATAACACCATATCTAATGAAGAATTCAAATTCATAATCTTTAAATCTTTCTGAAAAAGAAAACTCTCATTACAGATAGCTTCATTGATGAACTCTAACAAACATTTAAGGAAGATATAATACCAACCCTACTCACTCTTTATTTAGAAATAGAGAATTTGGAATACTTCCTAACTCATGTTTGAAAGACAGTATTATCCTCATTAGAAAGTCAGGCAAAGACATTAGAAGAAAAGGAAACTACAGTCAATATTTCTCATGAACACAGACACAAACATCTTTAACATAAATTTATCAACTTAAATTCAGTAATATATAAGTCAGTTGTGTAGTAGGGTTAAGTGAGGCCTATCCAGAAAAACAAGGTTGGTTTAAAATTGGAATATGAACCAATTTAATTCACCATATTCACAGGATTAAGAAGAAAATTTTAAGACAATCTCAATAGACACAAGCAAGATTTTTGGCCAAAACGATAAAAACTACTCAGTAAACTAGGAATAGAAAGGAACACCCTCATCCTTTTTCAGGGCATCTGTGAAAACCCACAGCTCACATCAAGACTGGGCACTGGGTACTAACAATCCCCAAGATTGTTAACAAGACAAGATGCCCAGTCTCAGCCCCCTGTCCAACATTCTGTAGAGGATGTCACAGTCAGTGGAACAAGAGGAAATGCAAACAACAAAAGGCATACGTGTTGCTGGTGAAGAAAGAAATAAAGCTCCTTATTCACAGGTATTATGATCGTGAAATGGGGAAAATCCTAAAGAATCTACAAAAAAAGTCACTAGAACTAATAAATGAATTTAGCGAGGTTAATGCATACAAAGTAAATATACAAAATCAGCTGTATTTCTATATACGAGCAACAAACTTCTGGAAATTGAAATTAAGAAGCAGTATCATTTACAACAGCATCAAAACATGAAATAGGAACAGAATTAGAAAAACCTATGTAAGACCTATGTAGTGAAAATAATGAAACATTGCTGAGGGAAATTAAAGAAAATCTAAATAAATGAGCTCTATACCATGCTCATGGATGGATAACTCAAAATTGCTAAGATGGCAATTTTCCCAAATTGATCAATAGATTCAACACAATCTCATTTAAAATCCCACCAACCTTTTGTTCATTTGTTTCTGGATACTTCAGTTTGTTGACAAAATGATTCTAAAATTTTGGCCGGGCATGGTGGCTCACACCTGTAATCCCAGCACTTTGGGAGGCCAAGGCGGGTGGATTACCTGAGGTCAAGAGTTCGAGATCAGCCTGGCCAACATAGTGAAACCCCATCTCTACTAAAAATACAAAATTAGCTGGGTGTGGTGGTACATGCCCGTAGTCCCAGCTACTCGGAAGGCTGAGACAGAATCGCTTGAACTCAGGAGGCAGAGGCTGCAGTGAGCCGAGATCAGGCCACTGCACTCCAGGGCAGTGCAGTCTAATTTCAAGACTTAATATAAAACTTTAGTAATCAGGATAGTGTGATGTTGGCAGTTGCAGATGTATAGATCAATGGAACAAAATACGGAATCCAGGAATAGACTCAACTATACATACATGGCCACTTAATTTTTTTACAAAGTTGTCAAGGTAATTCAATGGAGAAAGAATATTCTCTTCAACAAATGGTGCTGAAACAGTTGAATACTCAGACGAAAAAATCTGAAACTAAAAAAGCTTCTGCCTCTACTTTACTTTATGCCATGTACAGATGTCAACTTGAAATGGAATACAGAACTACATGGTAAAGCTGTAACTATAAAACTTCTGAAATAAGAAAATCTTAATGACCTTGATACAGGTAAATACTTATAAAAGAGGATACCAAAAACATGATCCCTAAAAGAAAACACTGATAAATTGGACTTCATCAAAATTTAAAATATCAGTTCTTTGAAAGACACTATCACTGCTTAACAAACTCATCTCAGTGACTGAAAACCACCACAATGTTCTGTTTGTTGTGATTCTGGGTTCTCTAGGAAGTTCATCCACTGTACATGATGGGGTCCCTCACTCTGGGGCTGTGCACTCCTCAGCTGGAACATCCACAGGTCCTCTTGTACCCTGGGGTCTGTCTTCATACAACCTCTACAAGTCCAACACAATCAATAGTGGTTCTCCATATAATCCATAGTGTCAAGAGTAATTTTTTTTTTTGAGACAGTCTCGCTCTGTTCTTGCCCAGGCTGGGGTACAGTGGCGTGATCTTGGCTCACTGCAATCTCTGTCTCCCAGGTTCAAGCAATCCTCCTGCCTCAGCCTCCCGAGTAGTTGGGACTACAGGAGTGTGCCACCACACCCAGCTAATTGTCATATTTTTAGTAGAGACGGGGTTTTGCCGTGTTGGCCAGGTTGGTCTCGAACTCCTGACCTCAGATGATCCGCCCATCTCAACCTCCCAAAGTGCTGAGATTATAGGCATGAACCACCGTGCCTGGCCCAAGAGTAATTTTTGAAATGATTATTATACCACTGCAGAAGTAGGAAGCATCAAGGAATTAACAAAAATATAGAATCTTTATGTAGAAAAATTTTAAATGCTGTCAAAGCGCATGAAGAAGATCTAAATAAATGGTGGAATAACCAAGTTGGTGAAAAATAGTTCTCAAAATTGTAACGTGTCCATGCCACGTCATCCATTTAAAACAATGTTTTTTGTATTTTCTAGTGCTTTGAAACCTTGGAGCCTTGCTGGTCCTCAGAGGGCCCCTCCCAGGGCCAGCCAGCTCTTACTGAAGTAACCTTCTTATGGAACAGGGAGAATGAACATTAAGAATGAAGTAACATTCTTACTGAGGTACCCTGTACAATTAATGTGATTCAAAAGGAAGCTTCCAGGGGGAATTTTTAGCAACGGGGACAACTGCTTCCAAAATTTGGATGGAAAAATAAAATTCCCTGAATTCCTACTACAATTCTTGGGAAGAAGCTCCAACAGGAAGGAACCCCCTCTGCACACGGTTGAAAGGTGTAGTCACTGAAGCAACCGGATGCCACCACGGGAATAAATGAGTACACAGACTGGTGGGTGAGATGGGGCAGCCAGAAGGAGCTTTAGGAACCCTTCTGTTCATGCTGGAAGTGGACCCACAAGGGGGAGTCTATGATTGATACCTGGTGTTGAGAATATCGGGTCTCCATGCAGAGAAAAAAATCTTCAAGTGGATTAAAATACAACCATGAAAGGCAGAAATGAAAAAAGATGTTAGTAGAAAATGAAGGAGAACATCTCTTTCTATCCTAGAGATAACTCTAAAATTCAAAAATTAAACCAACAACACAAAAATACCCAGCCTCACCAGAACAAGCAGGTACCTCGTGTTCTCAATGCACTTGGAGTATAGGAAACACCTCTCCGTGAATCTACACTCGTAAACCAGAAACAAAACCAGAGCAAGAAGCCTCAGGGGTGTGGTTACCAGCCCCAGGGAGCTGTGGGGGGCTTCCAGGAGGTTCCTGGGAATCACAGTGGTGACTCCTTTTGTAGTTAAACAGCCCTTAGGGTAGTTTTCCCAAAACTAAGTCCTGATGATAAACTCATTTTTCCCCTGCTACAGTGAGAAAACTGCTTATACCTCCCCGCCCAAGACGAGCTGCTCTTAATCAAGCTTCCAGAACCCTCCAGGTCTTAAGAACATTCCATTACACAGAAGAACCAAAGTCTGAGTGTGAAGGACCGGGGTGGGCTGAGGAATTTCCTTGCTGCTCCTCCAGGCTTGCACTGATTTCCCCATAATCACCCGCTCCTCTCCACCCCTCACAGTCCCCAGGAGAAAACTGACTCCTGCATACAAGAGTGCCCCAGCTCCCCACCCTCTGGGCACATGCCCTGTGGACCATCCCACCCCTTTCCAGCTGCAGCAGAAAAGAAGTCCCCACGCCGGACCCCAGGCCCTTCCTTCCCCTGAGCGCTGGCTCCTTCCTGACTGAGATGGGCCCATCACACCCCCTCTCATAGGGGTTTTCAACATCTCCTGTGAGGCTGGCCTGTTGCCTTCCACCCAGGAACATGTCCTGGGCCCCTTCCTTGAGCTGCTGCCCTGGATCCCAGCCTCCCGCCAGGCCTCCACCTTCCTCCTCCTGCCCTTCACGCTTCCTCCTTTCTCGGGTAGCTGGGAAAGAAGCTCTGTAACTCCTGTCCACTCCACAGCACCCTGCAGGGTAGTGGTCTCCACCGCTTGCTACTACCACTGGCTGGCCTTCCCAGTTCTCTCCTGGCCAGTCCTCCTGGAAGGGGCAGTTCTGTGGACTCAGCCCTTCTGGGGGCCCTCCGCTCCTTGGCTGCTCTCTGGGGCCTCCTTGGGTTCTGCTTGGTGAGGAAGAGTGTGCCCCAGTCCTGCCCCCTGCTCTGCTCTGCCCTTGGCCCTATCTCACCCACCCTCCCAGCTGTGCCCCCTTGTGTACTGACCCCAGAGCTGGGCCTCTGGGCCTCCTCCAAATGGTGCCTCAGTGACCCAAGGATCCACTAAGCTTCTACACCAAGGACACGCTACCCATAGAGGCTTCACCAAAAACCTCTGCTGGGAGAGGGAATCCTCTTTCCACTGACCTTGGCTCAAGGACAGCCTGCCGACCCTGCTTAGATTGTGGGGCAGTATGAGGTTCTTCCCCCAGTCTCCCCACCTCCTTCCCTGGGGTGCAACTCACTTTGCACTGCACTCTGTAGGTTAAAGCAGAAAAAATTTATTCTCTCCCAGTCTGGAGGTCAGAAGCCTGCGATCATGGCGTCCCAGGGCCAGGCTCCCTCTAAGGGCACTAGAGAGGACCTGCCGCAGGGCTGTCCAGCTCCTAGGAGCTGCTTACCTGTAGCAGCAGAATTCGGCCTTCCCGTGGAGCTCTCTCTGTGTCTGTCTCTGAGTCCGAATCTCCCCCTTTATAGGGACACAAGCCATTTCAGACTAGGGCCCACCCTAATGACTTCCTCTTAACCTGATCATGTGCAAAGACCCTGTTTCCAACTAAGGTCGTGGCCACAGGTGCTGTGGGTTAGTACTTGTGCTTCTTCTGGGGACACAGCTATGACTCTCTGGCAGCTCTCCCCATTGAATCTGGCTCCGCACCATCTCCAGCAGGCTTCCCCTCCACCACACACCACTTCCTGGCCTGTGCTTCTGGAAGGACCCCACTTTCATGGCTCTCCAAGCCTGGTCCTGAGGCTGCTCTCATCCCAGGACTGGGACACCCTAGGGCCCCTCCTCTCCAGAGCACTCAGGCAGCATGTGGGGCTGCCTGGATCGCTGGGGTGCAGGTGCTGCCCTGTGGCTGGCAGGCTTTGTGTCCTGGGCTTTCTTGATGATCAGTTCTGTGAGGAGCCTTGCATGGCCTCGGGTGCTGGGTTCTGGTTTCTGGTTTCGGGGATCAGAGCAAGTGGCCACTAAAAGCCCAGGAGGTGGTTGCAATGCTGGTGGCGGGGCCAGAGAGCTCACCCCATCTCTGTGGGTGTGGCACTTGGGACAGGTGCTGCTGCTAGGCATAGGCTGGGACTCTTACGGGGCAGGAACAAGGCCATGCAGCGGGTCTGGCCTGCCAGGGCCTTCTCTCTGCATGTTACGTGGATGGCACAGACCCCTGGCCTTCACCCAGGTCTCAGACACAGAAGAGTCTCTGCCTGCCCACTGCACTATGAGGTCCACAAGGGCGCAGGCAGGGTCATTGGAGGGATCGGGGCATTCCCTGGCATCTGCTGAGGATGGGGCCCAGCTGAGGCCTGCACAGCAGTGACATACCCAGGAGCCAGGACCCTTGGGGTTTGGCCAGGTGACCCAAACCGGCTCTGTCTGGGTGAGGTCCAGTGGCCGTGCAGGAACCAACAGTGCCAGCCGGGGTGAGGAAGCCGTGAGCACTGTGACCGAACGCCTGCGTGGGTTCTTAAATCCATGCGTGTTCACCCGGAGGCAGAAGCCCATCCCACTCTCGCCCTGGCTAACTACGGGCCCCACCCTGGGGCTCCTCACAAGGCTCCCGAGCACCAGAGGCAATGCCCGAGCCAAAGGAGCTACGGGTGGAAAGGGCTGGGATCCCATCGCAGCCCCTGCAGAACCAGCTCGGACAGTCAGGGCCCCTGTGTGCACCTCCTGCCTGGGCCATCCCTGCGGGGCCTGAGGCCTGGGAGGTCCTGAGATCGGAGGGGTCCTGAGGCCTGAGGGGTCCTAAGGTCGAGTGGCCCCCAGGCGGGAGTCGCCAGGGCTGAGGCGCGGCTGGAAGAACCTCCCTCAGCCCGGGGCAGCTTCCAGGGTCGCCGGTGCGAGCTAGGAGCACGACGAATAAGAAGAATGGCTGGGCCTTGGCCGAACAGCCCTGGGCTCGGCACCCAGGGCCTGGCCAGCCTCGCGCGCAAGCTGGACGCGTGCCCGCCCCTTCCTCCGTCCCCGCGAGCAGGCGGGCCGAGCGGCGGAAGGGGACGACGTGGCAGCCTCGCGGGCCCCGGAGACCTCCCTTTCTCCCGGCGCAGACCCCGCCGGGGATCCCTGTGCTGCAGCGGCTGCAGGAGGCACCCCCGGCCTCCCACGGCCCAGGCCCCCCACCGACCCTAGAGGACCCTCCAAGGCGCGGAACTCACGCTGGTGCGGCCCCTGCCGGCCGGCGGGAGGCGAGGCTTCCAGGAACGCCCCGCCCCTGCCCCGCCCCGGCCGGCGCCCCCGCCCCGCCCACGTCACCTCCCGCGCCTGCGCGCCCAGCCCGCTCCAGCCGCCGCGCATCCTCGGCTCGCGCCCCGAGACCCGCGCCCAGCCAGCCGCAGCCCCACTCGGCGCCCCAGGCAGATCGGCTGCGCTCGCGGCGGGACGGCGCGGCCATGAGGTTGCGGAGATGCGGACCCCGGGCCGCCCCTGCCTCCAGCGCAGGGGCCGGCGATGCTCGGCTGCTGGCGCCCCCGGGGCGGAACCCCTTCGTGCACGAGCTGCGCCTCAGCGCCCTGCAGAAGGCCCAGGTGGGTGCCCTGGGCGCGCGGCCCCAGGAGCCGGCGCGGACGCCAGGGATGCGGGGACCAGGGAGGCGCGGCGGAGGAGGGGCCGGGGAGGGGGCCTGGGGCGCGGCGCGGCCCTGCGAGCGGCGGCGCCTTCTCTCCCCGCGGCCGCCCCTCAGCCCGCGTCCCCGCCGCCCGCACCCGATGCCTCGGTCCCTGCGCCGGCTTCCCGCCGCCCGCACGCGCATCCTGGTCCCTCAACGCCTTCCGCGGGGTCCCCGCTTCCGATCCCCGCCCCGCGTCCTGCTCCTCCCCCCAGGCCCCCGCACCTTGAGCCGGGCCCACAACCCTTTCTCTGCCTCCCAGAACCCCGACCTCGGCCCCCGCGGGAGCCTGGACCTGAATCGCCGGTCCCCGCGCTTGTCCCTGGTCCGGGCCCCGCCCGCCCTGGCAGGCCCTGCGCGCAGCCCGGGGACTCCGGAGCGGCTTTCCCGGGACGCGGCCCGCCGGCGGGAGGGGACCGCGGCGCTGGGTGAGCCTCTTGTGCGGGGCCTGGTGGTGCCCGGGACTGGGCGCGCAGGCGGTGCGGGTCCCCTGTAGGCGCACGGGCCCTCCTACTCTGCGGCCGTACGTTGCCTTCTGGGGTGCCTGCTTTGCTCCTGTTGTAAGGGATGCTCTCTCGGGGCTGGTCTGTGACCAGAATCAACTTTATGCAACCTGGGCTGCCACGTGGGAGGGAACGGTCTGCTGAGATCTTGCGATCGGACAGTGGTGAGGGGAGACCCGGGGGCGTCGTGGGGAGGGGGCCACTCGCTGCAGGAAACTGCGCCGGAGATGTGCTGGCTTAGCCTGGCTTTTCCCGCTACCTGGCTGCCAGCTGGGTTTGCAGTTGCCTGAGATCCACTCTCAAGAGGACCTTACTTTTGACTCCAAAATAATTCCTACAAGCAAGCACCGCTTCGGGGCCTATGGGGCTGTCAGGTTTATAGGGAGCACACTTCCAATTGTGAGAATACAGTTTCCGGGGAGATGGAGATGTGTTCATGCATGAAGTACTTTATCCGAAAGAACACTAAAGTAAAAAGTTACTGATGCCAGTCTGAGGTTGTTATTTTCCCAGGACGCCTGCTTTAGCTCAAAGCCCCTTGATGCGGCTGGTCCTCAGGGTATGGAAGGGGACGGGGAGCAGGAGAGCCCGATGGTGCCGCCCCTCCTGGTGACCCACGGGGTGAGGTCATCCCCCAGCTTGGCTCCCAGGCCCTTCGCCGCTCCCCCCCCCCCCCAGCCCCCTGCCTCCGGCTCCCCCGGCTCCGTGTGTGTCGCAGCTGGACCCTGGGGCTGGGGCCGTGCCGACCCCTCGGCCACTGCTCTGCCTGGCCCTCCCTCTGCCACATGCTGTCAGCTGCCGTGTGCTGTGCCCCTCGAAGGAGGATTTGGGACACGGTCACTCATTTTGTGCCCCTCAACCATTCCTCCTCTTCAGTCCTCACCCCCACCCAGCCACCAGGCTCTCTACCTGGATCACTCCCAGCGACTTTTTTCCTCCTGCACTCTGCTGCTCGGACCCTCAGCCCTGACGCCCCGATGAAATGTGAACCCCCGCTGTGGTTTCCAGGGCTTTCCCAGCCCTGGTCCTGCCCCAGCTCTGCCTGCATCAGGCATGTTCTCTCTTCCTGCCTTTCCTACTCCCTGCTGACTCCCTGGGGGAAACATCAAGCCCCTCCTCCCTGGAGGTCCCCAGAGGCGACTTTGTCATCCCTGTCCTAGTTGCAGCCCCCCAGTTGAGGTGTGTTCTGTCCAAAAGTGTGCACCCGCTGCCCTGGCGAGAAGCAGGGCAGAGACTCTCATGGGTAGGTACAGATGTCAGGACAGAGCCAGAGTGCCCAGCCCCTGGGCCTGCTTTCCTCCCCGGGACCTCAGAGTGCAAGCTGCTCCCAGTGGCTCTTGGGCAGGGGGTCATCGGGAGGCTCCTGGTCCCAAGATTGAAGGCTTCGGGCAGCTGTTCTCCCTTGGGCCGAAGCCAGGCACAGATCCTGGCTTTAGGTGTTGGGGCCCCTGAGAAGAAGGGGTTTTGCTTCGTTATCACTTCAGAGGCCCCATCTGAGTAACTGGGTGTGTTTGTACACCCATTTGTGTCTGCTGGATGTCTGCAATGTGTGGCTTGAGGGTATAGTTTGTAAATGTTCTCGAAACATTTTGCTTTTCACCAAGCATTGCTTTGCAAAGCTTTTACTTTTATGTAATATATTCTTGTAAAGTTTCCACAGAGTGAAATAGCCTATCTTTTAAGCCAAGAGAGCCTTCTTCCCCAAAGAAAGAAATGGGTCCAGTAGTTCCTGACATACTCCAGAACCCTCAGGAACCCAGCTAAGTTCCTAGTTGAGATAAACCAGTGACTACCTGCATTTACCTGTGAGCATTTGCCACCTGGGAGGGGCTGCTGTGTGCTTTGGATTAACACCACGCGGGGACACCTCCCCAGCCAGCCCATCTGTCATTTAACTACAGATTGAATGAGGAGCTTAACTACCTCTTTGGACAGAAAACAGCATATTAAGATCTGAAAAGAGGTATCAAAGCCGTCAGGGTCTGTAATGCGTGCAATGTTTTAATCCCTGGGCTAAAGCAAGGATATAGATTTAGCAGAGAGCAGTGAATAGTATATTGTAGGATCTCGGTGAATTCAGCTGAAGTTCTTTGTAGTCACACATTCATGTATTGTTTTGGAGTCATGAGTGGCTGTCTATCACCCAGGGTTTTCTCGGTACTTTCCTTGGAGGCTGTGGGTATGAGTATTTCCCACCCTGGTTCTGATGCATTTTCCCCATTTCTGAAGTCTTCTGCTACTCAGAACCAGAGTCGGCAAGAACTTACATTCTGGAAAGCATAACGCCTTCCTGTGCACCTTGTAACGGAGTCCTTGGACGTGTGTCGCTGTCTCTGAGTGGAGGAGGCTGCTGGGTGCCCGCCTGCCCACACTGGCTAATCCACAGAGAGGATTATGATGAGGGTTGAGTCCAGGGACAGATTTTGCCCCTCCCTGCCTGGTGGCCCTGCATGGAATTTACCCAAAAGTGGGCCATCTTTTTCTCCATATTTTTATACAAATGCCTGAGTTGTGATTTTTTTAAACAAACTCAGGAGCAGGACTCTGCCCTCTCAGCCTCGCTCCTGAGTCCAGCGTGGCCACTCCCGAGCAGGAAATCATGTGCCCACACACCTTGCCAGGTTCCTCATGTGGATGGCTGTGTTTGTCGTGTGTTCTTGACCCGTGGTGCCCTCCAGGCACACATGCACAGGGATGGAGGTTCCTCAAGCTTCTCTGAGCTGCTCCTGCTGCCCATGGGGTCCCCGGATGCTGCCTGCCTGGGTTCAGTAAGACCAGCTCTTGGCTCAGCCCCAGTGCTGGGCAGTGGGTGTGGGGTGTGGGGTGGCCCAAGGAGCCCTGGGCAGCGTACCCAGCGGGAGCACAGGGCAGCCACACCCTGTGGAGGATGTGCAGGAGAGTGCCTGTCCCTTGGGGAGGGTGGAGAAGGCCAGGGCTGGACAGGGCCTGTTCCCTCCCTGGATGCCTCAGAGGCCTTGGAGACGGTGCCAGGCCCATGGCCCCCAGCTGCCTTCTGATGACCTGGGTGTGATGGTGCCAACTGTTCTGGCCCAGTAGAGGCCCAGGGATCATTTTCCCGTATCCTCGCCTCTGGTCACTGTCATCCTTCACCCCAGGAAGCACAGGTGAGGACACAGAAGCCCAGGTGCTCTGCCGTCTCCCAGGCAGGGAGGGCAGCATGGGCTGTCTTAGCATGGATGCCCGCCCTGACCTCACAAGGAGCCCTGACCTTAGGGAACTGGCTTTTTTTCTCAAAGTCATTGAGAGCGTTCCTGTAATCCTGTCTAATTTGCTGAATGGTGCACTCGTGAAACAGTTGTGGTTAACTTTGCAGAATGGGAAAGGGGATTCAAAATTGGAAAAGACTTTACTTTTCATTTTTTATAGTATTCTGTCCTAAAACTTGGATTTCTAATATAAGTGTGTGTATAAGAATATGTGTGTACACACATTCATATGAGTGCATACACACGTATATACATGCAAGTGTACACAGACATCCACATAAGCATACCCACATACACACAGAAACACACACACATAGTTTTGTTTTACAGCTGACAGCAAAGCACCATCAGTTTCATGCGGAAGCCCATGATCGTGGCCCAAAGCTCATCTTAAATGGATACTGTCTTTGCACTCCTGTTTCATTGTGAGAAAGAGTCCTTTATCTTTATATTGTCAGCACTCATCTGTGCCAACTTTTAAAACTCTGCAGCTTCTGGGTCTGTTTCAGGATGCGAGGCTGGCGTGAGCCATGGAGGTGCTTTCTTCCCCCACACATGTACCCTGCTCTGTGCACTTCCTGCAGGCACGGTTCCCTTCTCAGACAAGTGAGGTGGCACCTTCCCATTTCCAGACAGGAGATGACACCCAGGGCGCCTGCTTTGCTGCCTGTGGTCGTGGCTCCGGAACTCTAAAGGAGCACATGTTTTTATACATTTCAGAATGATGCTGGCCTCTTGCCTGGGGCCGGCCCCCTATCATCGTCGGCGCTGGGGGCCCGCTCCTTGCTCGCACTGGAACATGGGGCCACATGGG